CACAGCAGGTGGGTTGGTTGGAGGTCACGACAGTAAGCAGGGAGAGGCGGTGGGGTGCGTAGGTCGATGTTAGATCGAAGGTAGGTATTAGCAATAAGGATGATTGGAAAGATATTTAAGGGGGGGGGGGGGGGAAGAACATCCCTGGACAGGAAAACAACTACCGTCGACAAGATGGACAGAAATCTCAAAAGCCAAAAACTAACCCTAAACAAAGGAAATAACAAATGTATAGTAGTAGATAACTAGCACTTGGGCGACAACCGGTTGACCTCTTTGACTCCCTCCCTGAACTGATCCAACATTCCTAGTTGGAGAGCACTTGGGCGACAACCGGTTGACCTCTTTGCCTCCCTCCCTGAACTGATCCAACATTCCTAGTTGGATCAGCCACCGATTCAACAGAGTCCCGCGTCAGTCTCTCAGGGTTGTGGGAGCTTCGATCTCCTTCATCGAATCATCTAGCTGTCCGTTGACCGTGACAGAGTTTACTGTAATCTCTCGGGGTTGCCTGGATCTCACTGGCGATTGCATCTTTTCCCTAAGCACTTGAGAATTTTCCCCTATTGCGAGCAAACATCCATAACGACCAAGTCTTCTTGGAGCTCACTATTGTCCTAAATTCAGTCTGTGTGTCACACATATGCTGCTGAAACCTCCCAAAGTAACTCAGAATCGTTTTAACCTGATTTGAAGTATGGGTAAGCTGAACCTCCTCAAATGGTGGTGGTCATGACGATAAGTTATTGATCGAGATGTCCTAAAATGCTCTATGTCGTGACTGTCCCATGTCTTGAAGTGGCACCCTAGTCCTCTCTTCTCTGTCGTCACTACAACTGGTCCCACGGATGTTGCTCTGCTGGCAAGCACCTTTGATCTCGGGCTTCTCATAAGGGAGAAGGACGATGTGCTCCCCCTCCTTAGTGAAGTAGGTGTTTCTTAATCTGTCGTGCTGAGTTCTAGGGCTAAATTGTTACGGTCTACCCAAGAAAAGGTGGCAGACATCCGTGGGCACCATGTCGCACCACACCTGATCCTGTAGCTAACTTCCAATTAAAAACATTACTAGACACCTAAAGGTGAATGCCAACCTTATTCTTCTTTTTCAGCCACATCAGAGAATATGCTTGGGAATGCCTTCGAGTCATGAGACACAATTTCTTCACCATCTGTGTAGACGCAACGTTCTTGTTACTCCATTGATAATGAAACTACATACCTTGCTGTTAACAGTGCAACATGTCGCGGATCCCTCATATCTCCAGCATGTAGGACCAGTCAAACCACAAGTTCCTCTCCCTCATTTGATGGGAGATGATACAACCCACCCTGTTTTTTAACTGTCAACTTATTGCTAACCTTCTTCACTGTGTTCTGCTCGGTATAAGATGCAACTCGACTCATAGGGCAGTTGGAGGCGAAGTGCTCATATCCATGGCATCTGAAGCATTTTCCGATCGGGACTGTAGTAGGCATGCTATTCTTCTCAGGCTTCTTCTCACTCGGGATGACTCTGTCATTATTTGAACTAGTTTTCTCAACTTCCCGAGGTGTGCTCTTGTTGATGTCTTCAATTATGGATGACTGCCTGAATGGTGGTGGTTGTCTGTTTTGTTTCTGCTGTCTCTCCACCTTCTGATTTAAGGTCTGGACATCTCACAGTGACCAATAAGATTGCAGCCACGCAACGTTGTTGATAGGGAGCTTCAAACCCTAGATATGAGTTATGGAATGCTCTTCTGGCTCGACCAACTCACACTTCTTCTATAACTGGTCGAACTGTGCCGTGAACTCCTCCGTTGTAGGTGGTGGAGTTTCAGAGACATATCCTGGCAGTAATGAGGAGATATGTATTTTCTCTGCATCCCCTTCTTCATCTCCTCCCATATGGTTATCTTAGCGTTGTCTTCTCTCCTTTTCTGCCTCTACAAGTTTTCACACAAGGAGACGCTCTCTTCTTCAACTTGATGGCTCTAGCTTCAGCCTTTTATTCTCCGACACTTTTTCATACCCAAAGATTCTCTCAACTGCTTGCAACCATTTGATGAAATTGTTGGGATCCATACCTCCATTGAACTCTGGGAGGTTCACTTTGATTCCGAAATCTCTGGTTCTCCATATGGTCTCCTCTCTCAGTTTTCTCTGATACTGAATTCCGAAACGCTTTGGTTTGTCTTCTTCATGACTGAAGATTTCTTATGGAATGGGTTCATGCCCTTATCCCTTTCTCCTTTTCGAATTTTTCTATCACGATCGAGGATAATTTTCCTTTGGGTTCCATCATCCATGTCCGCGAGCCTTTGCTGAAGTTGACATATGGTAGCATGGTTAGGGTTTGGTATTTATGGGAGTAGAAAAGCTTTTTGGTGATAGAAAGAAACATTTTTGGTAGAGATGGTTTGGGTATGACAAATGTTAGGAAACTTGAGGATAGGACTAGGTTAGACTAGTTATGATATCAATTGATACCAGAGCTAACCCAAATCATAATAGAAATGCAAATATTATTCTTGAAAGTCAAATATGTAACAATGAAGACCCTTCAAAATAGGAAATAAGTGATAACAAACATAAAAGATATCCTCGGACTAAGTTGAAGGGGGCGGAGGGAGGCTGGACAGTAGGTAGAGTTGGATGGGGAGGTTGCTTAAATGGCAGGAGGGTGGAAGTGGGGGTATGGCAGCCTTCATAAGGCAGGGCTGAAGGCTGGCAGTAGGTGTTTGGGAGATTGAGGGCTTGGCGACAGGAGGTGGGTTGATTGGAGGGCTGGCGAAAGCAGTTGGGAGGATTGGAGAGGGTTGTGACAGTAGGTGGGTTGGTTGGAGGTCACGACAATAAACAAAGAGAGGGTGGGGAGGTGCATAGGTTGATGGTAGAGGGGTGGTAAGCAGCAACAAGGAGGATGGCTGGAAAGTTAGGGTGGCGGGGTTGGGAAAGGATCCCACAGTTATTGCCGGAGCACCCTTAAAACCCTTGGAGAAGATCACCACTTAGGACGAGTTATGGTTAGAGCACCTTCTCGTCTTCAGTTCTCTATACGGGAAAACAGTTGTTGATGGCAAACTGGACAGAAATCTCAAAGGCTAAAAACTAACCCTAAACAAAGGAAATAACCAATATATAGTAGTAGATAACTAAGAACACTTGGGCGGCAACCTAGTCCCAACACTTGGGCCGGCCTGTCCCCTTGCTTCCCTCGCTGAACCAGTCCAGCTTTCACAGTTCGATCAGCAGACTGTTCAGTAGAGCCCCATGTCAGTCTCACACAAACCATAAAGCTACTAACTTATCCTCCCAAACTGATATGCAAATTCCATTCGCTCTGCTTTCCACTGGGCAAGGGGGAGAACTGGAAACAGGAGAAGAAGCATAGCATGAATTATAGATATGAAATGCATGTTTTAACAATCTAAATGCATGTTTTAACAATCTAATTGTATCTTTGAGGGTGGGCAAATTTTAACAATCTGCGATCTTTGCATGTTTTTATCCTAAAGTTCTTGATGTAGGAATTTTATTTAGGATCTTTGTTTGTTGAATTAAAAATTTTTATCCTAAAGTTCTTGATGTAGGAATTTTATTTTATATTTATTTTAAGAAGTATTGAAATTATAATATTCAAAGATACAATTTTAAGTTAATGGGTAATAAATTTGCCCACCCTCAAAAGAAAGGTTAGTTCTACTCTTGGATTGGTGCATGGATAGTTTCTCAAAGTAGCACAAAATGAATCGCAGGTTGAACATGAGCTAGGTTTCCCCTCAAATAGAACCTGATGTTGAATCATTTTACCCTTTGTCAGCAATGGAATTTGGCCAGGAACAAGCGTAGTAGCTATGTATTTGAACACTTACCCGAGCAAATAGTTTAGACTTGTAGTTCGTGAGAGTTGATGATAATTACCAACATTTCAAGGGAGTTACAGATATTGCATACGATTTTGGAGATTCCATTTACATCCCAATTACATCCCAATTACATTCCAACTGCATAGCAGAAGATTATGAAGCTTTATCTGAATCGGAATTTCATTGAAATCCTTTTTAATATGCTTAATATCTAGAGACCATTTTCTGATGATTAGTGGTCTACCGTAAATGGACCAAGGGCCATCAGTACGAACCATTTCATGATCTTTCACATATGTAACTTCAAATAAAAAAAACCCCTCAACAGGAGATGTTAGATCTAAAGTACCTTTCGAATTCGTGGTCTTGCTAGTAGCTTGTAGAAGACTACAGTAGAAAGGTCATATCCAACCAAGTATAAGCTCCATTCTTTAGCCCCTCATGCAACCTCTTCAATCAGAGAAACTGACATTCACCTCGTTTTATGTAGGAGCCCTACTCTGGGAGAAATTAGCACTGTTCGGGATATGGAAGTTAAGGAGATTCTTTGAGTTCTTAACAGTCTTTCGAGGGGGGAAGAGAACCTGAAGAGGGGAAGGCACCAAGAATGGCGTTAGAAAAAGGTACTGCTGGAAATGAAGATCTCAGTGGTGAATCTGTAGATGGAGAGAAGGGATACCAGTTGAAGCCAATGTGAAGTCGACCAGCTGAAATAATGCTGGAGGAGCCCTAATCCGGGAGGTCACCATGTTATCGTAAAATGTGAAAAAACTCTATAGCACATAACCGATAGGGTTTTTGTTCTAACTTATTTAATAAGGCTAGAATTTATAGCACTATTGCAGGGAAAATTTGGTTAGATCATTGTAAGACTATGCCATTAGAATAAATATTTGAAAAATACTAGTGATGTGAATTTATTGTGAATATGCCCATTTCATGGTATTTATTTTTGAAAGTTCATTTACATCACTATGAGCCTGAACTTGAGGCGTTTTGTTTTCACCCGTTACTTTGAACGCTCTTTAACTGCATTTTGCTTGGCCTATATGGCTGCCAGTCACTTCAAAAAATGTGCTGTCTTTTCATCTTTGGTTTTCATGCTTGACGCCATAGCATTTTCTGCAGGCAAGAGAAGGCCATGGAGGGCATTTCTTTTATATGGTCCACCTGGGACAGGAAAGTCATATTTAGCCAAGGCCGTAGCGACCGAAGCTGAATCAACCTTCTTTAGGTTTTTCTCTACACTTTGTTTTGAATATTTGACTTGCTTTTATGATGTTGTGCATCTTTACTGCTAACAATTTTATTCAGCATGCAAATAGCTTTGTTTAATTTTATAGTTGTATTCATCGTTACTTTTGCAAATTATAGCATTGGTGCATTCTTTCTTCATATGATTTAGTCGTGAATCTGTACTCCCACTAATTGGACCTTTGACACATTATATAGTCTATGAATATGCTATATTTTTTATGCTTGCTTGTTTCTCATCTTATTTTGAACTTGTCCTACATTTTTTGAATGTCCTCCATTTTGACATTTTTGAACGGGTATATTTCCGTTCTATAGTTGCCTCCACGTGATACAATATATGAACCAAAAAAGAAGCAGAAAAAGAATTCAAGTTTTTTCCACCGTTTTTTCCCCAAAAAACCCGAGTAAAAGAAGTCAGAATGAACATGGAGCTTTTTATTTTTATGCTATTTTTAATTATTAGTTTGATAGGACCTATGATGTACAACACATACATTCACACACACAAGCACACACAAACCCAAATAAAAGAAGATACATAAAGGTAAACAAAAACCAAAAAACCACCAACAAAAGTGCTAGACACGTCCCACTTTAGTCCTCCCTTCGCCTCTAGTCCTCAGAAGTGAGCCGACTAACAGATTAGTAAGGTGAATACTATTGTCCGGAGTAACCAAAGTATTATCCATTAGATTCCTTAGCTCAAGTAGGTTCTCATTTTTCTTCTTCCTCCTGGATGTGTAGACCTGCCATTCCTCGTCCGATGATCAGTAGATTCCAAAGTTGGCCGGACAGGTGTGGGCCGTTGCACATCATTATCCCTATGAGCTTGAGTAACATTATCATCTTGCTCGAGCTGATGAGGCGGTAGTGAATCAGTAGAAGTATTGCCACCTGTAATATCTGTGATAAGTTATAGGACAGGTGGGGTTTGAAGAATCTCCCTCTCCCTCACGATGGGAGGTTCCAAAGACATGAGAGCTAAAACATTGTCTGGGGACTGAATGATTGTCATATTACCTGCGACATGGGTATCTTTTGGTACTTGGAGTTGATCAGGAGGGGCTGAATTCACTGCCTCTGGCGAAGCACTGTGCTTTTTTTATCTGAGGTGGGGGTGTAGATGGTGGCATTGAGAACTGGAGTGGCCGAACATACGACAATTTGAATAATACGAAAGAAAATGCTCAATCACTACCTTTTGTCAATATCCATGGTGCAGTGTGCCCAACCAAATTTCTCAGAAGCGGATGAAGTGATGTCTCTTTCAACAAGTACTCTGTTTCGAATGGACGAAAAAGATTGAAAGTAGGAATGTCCGTTTTGAATGACTTACCATAAACTGAGGCAATAGAGTACAACACTTTTTGAGTCACAAAACTAATGAAATTTCATACCAGGAAGGCGAATCCAAACCAGAATGATTGGTGGTTCCGTCTGTGGGTCAAAATCCACAGACCATTTCAGAATCTTCATTGTTTTGTTATCAATCCGGATTATCCTTCTCGCAAATAAGCGCGTGTAATCTTCTTCATTATTTAGTTGTATAAGAATGTGATGTCCATCTAACAGTCTAATTTTTCACTCCCCAACAAGGTGCATAAGCTCAAATTCCCTGCGAACCAGCTCTCCTTTGAGATGACCATACAAAAATTTCCCGACCAAATTCAGTCGACAGGAGGAAGCGAGTTGAATACTTTCAGCTTCAGTAAAAAAGATGACGGCCTTCCCATTCTTTCTTTCAGATTTTTTGATGTCCTCTGCCCCATTCAAACGAAGGAGGGAAAAAACATGATTTAGGTGTACCGGAGGCGTGGACACGCGCAAGGGCAGTAATATACAATCTGTCTGAAGTCATCCCTAATAGAGGGAGGAGCGGTGTTAAGAACAGTGAAGACAACAAAGCAGAGAGCAACCTCCGAAACCATAAACGGGACCAAACCGGAAGCCCCTACAACAGCTTGAGCCCGAGGACCGACCTGCTCAAACAACGATTTCAGATTGCATAGGAAGCTGGAAGGCGCTGAGACCAATATCGAGCCCGACGAGTGATCCCGACGCAGCAGACGACACACGAGCGACGACAGACGACAGACGAGCAACAAAAGACGCACTTCGACATGAACGAAAACGACGGAAATGGCAAAATCGAAAGAGGAGAGCTTGATCGACGAAGAGCTACAGTGGAGTAATTACCAGAGATCACAATGGAGAAACCCTAGCAGAGCGCGAGTGCCATTCATATATATACGTCGGCTTGCGTCCTTCGATGCCGACGGTTTCATATGCGTCTCTTCGATTTCGAAGATGACGTCCACTGTTGTCGTTCGTGTCTGCGTTGTCCTTTATTTCGATGCCGACTTTCACCTCTCCCTACCCGACAATTTCAGTTCGCATCTGCGTATTTCTGTTCGACGCATTCGCCTTTCGAGTTCTTGGGACTACGCAAACAACAATTCTATTGAGATCTTCTAGCAGGAGGATTTCCCTGCTCTGATGGTGCTTCCTTCTTCTTCGATTGAACCTGACAAATCCTCTTTTGCCCACGTAGTGGGTAATTCTCAGGTAGAGTCGGCGGTTGTCTTCCTCTCAAATTATAAGGATTGTCGTGATGGTACATGTGACAGCTCCTTTGTTAGGAATGCAAGTAGGAAAAGTGGGAAAACAATACTTTTTTTCTCGGAATTAAAAATTTCAACCCTGATTGATAAATTCAAGTTCGTTTTTATTGAAAAGTTTCAGTGGAGGCTCCCACCTATGAAAGTTATCAGAAAAAGTTTTGATGATCTTAAACTAGCAGGAAAGTGAAAAGTGTGACTCATGAATGTGAGATGTGTTGATTCAATTATTCGTGGCTGAAGACTACACTCGAATTTTCTTCAAAAATATCTTAACATTGCAGACAAGTCAATGAAGTTACTCAAGTGTTTTCCTGATTTCGACCCTAATCATGAATCTTCTACTGTACCGGTATAATTTAGTCTATCTGGTCTCAAACTTCACTTTTTTCATCATCAGGTTCTTTACTCTATTGGAGCCATACTTTAGGACCCTATGAAGCTAGATCTACTCACTCTCAACCTAACCAAACCTTCTTTGGCCAGAATACTTGTGGAAAGAGGTATTACTTTACCTGATGTTACTGAAGTCTGGTTGGACACAACTTATAATGGATATTGACAACAACTCGTCATGGAGCATAGGCCTCCTTATTGTTCTCATTGTAAGATGTTTAGGCATACCCTTGATAAATATCATAAGATCCATCCTAATTTGAAATCTGACGATCAAGTGAATAAGGATGAGTCTAATCCCACTGCTCTAGACATATCTGTTCCATCTGGAGAAAAAACTAACACAGGACAGGATTTAGTGTTTTATTTAATTGCCCCTGTGGACCCCCTCCCCCCTAACAATACTGTTTCTGCGATTGATGTGATGCCGGATGGCACTGCTGGGCAACCTAAACTTTCAAACCCTATTAAAAACAGTATTGAATGATCCTTACCTAGAAAGGATTGTGTTCGGATTGATCATCAAGAGAACCTTGCAGCTCCTCATTGTCAGGAAGTGTCAGGTGTAGAGGCGACAATTCATACTTCACATATACTAGAATCTATTGTGGGCACAACTGTTGGCGATCCTTCTACTACAACTCTACCACCTCATCCGAATGAGCAACAATCTTCGGATTAGGAATGACAGGTTTGCACTTCTAGGAGGAAGAAGAAGAATGGAGATCTACTTGAGTTAAAGAATCTAATGAATAATACTTTGGTTACTTTGGGTAATGGTACACACCTCACCAATTTGTTAGTTGGTTCCCTTCCGAGAACTAGAAGCAGAACTAGAGGCAGAGGCAGAAATAAATTGGGTGCTCATCCTGATTAATCTTATATGTACCATATTTTTTTCAGTTTTCCTTTTTTGTGTGTTGTACCGTTTGGGTTGAGTGCCTATTTGGGCCTGCTCATACAACATATTTGTATCCTTTTTCCTTTAATATAATTGCCCTTGGTTTTTTTTTTAATATATATCATTACTGAGCATTGTCGAATACTGTTTATTTAGCATTGTTGATGCAATGACATATGCAATAAAAACATGCTAGTAATTGTAGCGAAGTCAACTGCAGTTAACTTTTTTGTGGCGCCAATTATTGTTGATTTTACCTCTCCTGTGCTGCTTGTGTTGCAAACCTTGTCCAAATTTAAGCTGGAAACTTTTAATAAGCATGTTCATGTTTAAAATTCTGTTTTGAACGTTATGGTGCACTTCGGAAGGTTTAGTTTCATGCAGAGGCCTTTTTCTCGTATTGTCAAGCCATAATTATATTTTTGTGCAATTAATAAATAAAAATGACTATTCTTTGGCGGTGGTCACATTGTACTGCTACTTTGAGGAAACATGTACTTATAGTTCTTGACAAATGCCAAAACTATCTACAGTATATCTTCATCAGACCTGGTTTCAAAGTGGATGGGTGAAAGTGAAAAGCTAGTTTCAAATCTTTTTCAAATGTCTCGTGAAAATGCTCCTTCTATCATCTTCATTGATGAAATTGATTCACTGTGTGGACAGCGTGGAGAAGGAAGTGAAAGCGAGGCATCTCGCAGGATAAAAACAGAACTACTTGTGCAAATGCAGGTGTGGTTGATGTCATGCAAATATTTCATTTTCTGGTTGTAACTAACCATATATATATTTTTTTCTCATAAATGCTCACAGGGATAGCGGATGCATAACTTTGATTGCGGCAATACTTGTGACTTGCGGTCATAGATAAAGAATTGTAGTCTTGTTAGATGTAGTTCACAATATTGAACTCAGTATCAACTTCAAAAGTATGATATTGCTGATTACCCAAATTTCTAAGTGTAGCCAAAATTGTATGGTTTAGCACAAGCCAATCACATCCTATAGTTAACTAATGGCAAACTGTTTGCAATGGTTATCGTTTGTAATTTTTTACCTGTATAACTCTTAAACAATTTTTGTTTGTTGATTGCATTGTCAACAGCCCATAAACCACTACTTTTGCATTTGCTTCGACACCCCAAATGCATTGTTTGTGATTATCCAATAAATGCAATATATCAAGCAGCTGTTACCAAAATCATTGCTGGCACATCAGATTATACAGGAAGAATGCATGCAACGTGAAGTGGATTTGATCAAAATTTGGAAATGACTTTTGATTATGAAAGCTGGTAGCACTACGATGTAGGGAGTGCATATGAGATTGGTGAAGGCGTTAGCTAGCAGGGTGCTTATTTAGTGACTGGTGGAAGTTTATCCAAACATGGCAGGCTTTTCCATATATGTCTACCATGGCAGGCTTTTCTATATATCTGTCCAAGATGGGTTATTAAAGTGCTGGCATGGGCCAATTAGAAATTTGGCGGGTGGGAATAATATTCTAGGTTCAGTGAATTTAAAAGGTCCCACCTTGGTCACCATGATCATGCACTCTAAGCTAAGGTATTTGTTATGTACTCGAACATACATGAATGCACCCAAACTCATTACCTTTTGGCACTACAGGGTAATAGGCAGCCTGAGCTTTGTTTTGGTCGGATGCTAGAGCGTGAAATTCTTCCTGTTTCAGGTGCCTGATTGGAGTTGAGATCTGATTCTGCTGAAGGATTTGAAGTCCTGTTATATGCTCTCTTTATTATTTTTCCATTCCATGAAAAATGATAGAAAGACTTGCAATATCTTAGAACTTACTAAACTTGATCTCCAGTGGAATCTAAAAGCTGGAATTGGATATATTTTCTTAATCGGTTTATAAAAATGTCTCCTGAAGCTTTTGATTTATTACAGGGCGTTGGTAACAATGACCAGAAAGTTCTTGTACTTGCTGCTACGAACACACCATATGCTCTAGATCAGGTTCTGTGATGAATTTGCTCGTATATTGTAATTGCAATGACCAGTTCATAAAATTGATTTATTTGTTTTTGTTTATGAAAAACAGGCCATACGGCGCCGTTTTGATAAGCGAATCTACATTCCTCTTCCGGATCTGAAGGCCCGACAACATATGTTCAAGGTATTTTCCTGCAATATCAACGTCGCTCATTTCACCCGTTTACTTCTTATTAACTTCCTATTTTCTCTTGCAGAAGCATTGTTACATAAAATCTGATCAAAATTTTAATATTGGAAGTTTAATCATTTTATTTTATTTATTTTTAATTATAAAGGTGCATCTTGGGGATACCCCTAACAATTTGACAGAAAGTGATTTTGAGAGCTTGGCTTGCCGGACGGAAGGTTTTTCCGGTTCAGATATTTCTGTTTGTGTGAGTTTTCTTATCAGTAGGTTTTCTTCATAGCTCTTGATCAGAAAAAGAACTCGCTCCTGATTTCTTTTATGACAATTTGGCCCGACCTCTTCATGACAGGTAAAGGATGTTCTCTTTGAGCCTGTTCGAAAAACCCAAGATGCAATGTTTTTTACAAAATCTCCTAATGGTATGCTGTTGCCATGTGGGCCAAAAACACCAGGATCTATACAAACCACAATGCAGGAGCTTGCTGCAAAAGGCCTTGCTGCCAAGGTTCGCTCTTATATTCTACACATGTTGAGTCTTTTATGGAATTTCACTGATTCATCTATTAGCTTTTATCTGGTTTCAAGTAAACTGTAAAAGAATATAAAATAACAATGGTGAAGGAATTTAATTGAAATTTGCTTTCACTGTCCGTTTAGTTGAGTAGTAATTTTATTTTTCAATTTCTTTATGAGGGAATATGAGTTAGAGTGATCATCGAACTCGATACATTTGTCCTCCTGATAAGAAATTGTCAAATATGAATATAATGCATTTATTCAGGCTTTCAGGTTAAATTAAATTATGGAATCAAACACCTCATATGAAATTATATTTGCATTCTCTCCAATTCCATCAAACCAAACAGACGTGATTTTCTTTATATATCTACTTGCTTTTATGCGGCAGATTCTTCCACCACCTATTACAAGGACTGATTTTGATAAGGTGCTTGCGAGACAGCGACCAACAGTCAGCAAAGCGGATCTCGAGGTTCATGAGAGATTCACAAAGGAATTTGGAGAGGAAGGTTGATAAGGTTAGTTGGTTTATTCAGCCATATTGTAATTGTATATTGTAGTTTGAAATTGTTTTCATTGTGGAAGAAATGTATAAAATTGCTCTTGCCCTACAGGGAATTTTATACAACTTTGTGGTAGCTAGAAGGGCTAGATGCTTTATTGTGACTTGATTAACTTCCTCAGTAATTTCGTAGATATTTAGTTAAATGTCATTGTGCAGTAGGATTTAGCGTGGTTAAAATTATTTGAACGTTTATAAAGTTGATTCATACATCTTTCACTTTTAATTGGCTTTATGAATTCTTAATTTGTCTATTATTCTTGTTGATTACTATGTGTTATATTAATTTTATTTTGCATTTATCATTTTTTAATAATATTATTAACAAAATTATTTTGTTTTTAAATCTGAAATAATACAGGCTCTCATAAAAGGAAAAAAATTTTGTACGTAAGACGTACGCAACGCTGCGTACGATAGCCAATAGGAGAATGTCACGTATATTGCGCCGGTCCCACTGCGTTTAGATTATAAAAGAAAAAGGAATTTTGACGCGCATGACCTGTCCACCCGACCCGCAAAGGTAACTCGATTGTAAACCCCCAGTACCCTTCCAGTACCTCCCGCAGTCGGCCTCCTGTAACGCGGTTGTAACCCCATTTGTAACCCAGGTGTACCCTTCCCGCTGTACCACGCCTATAACATAATTGTAACTTCCGTATAACCTTGTCGCCGCGGAAGAAGAATTGTCATTTGTGTAACTTGATTATAATCGCGATGTAACAGACTATGAAGCCATCGTCGTAGAACCGCGCTTGTAACCCTCATGGAATTGAGATTACACTCTTCGTGTAACTGTCATGTAACGGACGATCAAGCCAGTCGAATTGGAACAGCACGTGTAGCCTGAGTGTATCTGCGATGTACATGATTTAAAATTGGTGCATGCGCGAATCATGCTATTTAAGCAGCTAGGGTTTAATGATGGAGTACGAGTACAGAGATTGCCAGTTTATGTATGACGCAGAAGGAGAAGATGAGAGTTATCCTGCCAGGAAAGAAGTGGACCTTAAAGTGGAGGTGTGTTTGGAGATGTTTTATTATTATATTTTTTTAGGGTTTTCTTTAATATTGTTTGCTGTTAGGGTTCTCTTATTTTTAGGATCTAGCCGTATTTTTGGAGGTGTATGTATGTTGAGTTATGTTTGTAGAGGTGCATGATTTTAGGTTTTATAAAAACAATGAAGTAAATATCCTACTATAAACTCCAGTAATCACAGCTCAATAGATAATTAAAAATAGCCAACTTCTTAGAGGTGCATGTTTGTAGAGGTGTATGATTTTAGGTTTTTTTGTTGAGTTGTCATTATTAGGGTTTAGGATTGTTTTTTGAGCTAGGGTTGAATGTTTCATTAAAACTAATGAATCTTAGGTTTGTTTTTTAAGCTGTCTATTGAGCTTAACATTTTATTCTCTTATGTGCAGTTTGATGAAAGCGAAGCTACTTGTACTAAGCAAACAACAAACATATTACTCCAAACGATGGTTCACAATGAGAAATAGGCTTATGAAGTATATTGTGCTTAGCTAATCATATTGAATTTAGTATTTGTAAGGAGCACGCTACGTTTTGGCATAACTCCAGGAATATCAAGACGAAAGACTTCTTATATGGAAAAACAGATTTCAAGAAAAAGCTCAAGATCATAGAAACTGTTAAATACAAAAAAACAGAAACAAGAAATGGTTGCCCTGCAATGATTCGATACGCAGTTGATGATGAATGCAATTAGACAGTTAAAAAATTCATTGAATCTCATAACCACTCATTAGCGAACCCGGTGATAAGCACCTGTTGCGTTCCAGCAGAAAGATAAGTGAAGTTAATGCAGATGTGCTTAGATCGATGACACATTCAAGGATAAAACCAAAAGACGTGTTTAACTTTCTAGCCAAAGAAATTGGGGGTGTAGAGAACCTGAAACGTACAAAGAGAGATGTTTTCAATTTCATTCAAAGAGTGAAGAGATGTATAATTGAAAATGGTGATATCAATGTTTTATTGCAGTTGTTCGCAGATAACATATTTGAATAAGATTTTGAAATTGATGTGAGCGTTAGACTGATGAGTTTTTTTTTGGAGCTACGGGACATCCAAGATTGATTATGACTTCTTTGGAAATGTATTATTTTTTATACGAGCTATAGATTAAATAAATATAACTTATATTGTGCTCATATTGTTGGTGTTAACCACAATTGACAGAATGTTCTCTTTGGAGTTTGATTCTTGTCAGCGGAGACGATGGACCCGTTTAAATGGCTTTTTAAAACTTTCATCCGTATCATGAGTGATAATCATCCAATAACAATCTACATTGATCAGGATCAGACTATAGCCAGAGCCATAGCAGAGAGTTTGTAAAATACACTTGTCAGTGACACATATACAAGAAATTGCCTACAAAGATTCAATGCGGGGTGACACATATCAATTATCTTTTTTATAAATGCTTGAGTAAATGCGAGTCTGAAGAGGAATTTGATGATACATGGGAGGTGATGATTGAAACAGGTAATCTACAGGATAATGTGTGGCTAGATAATATATACAAAATTAGATATAAGTGGTCTACAACTTTTAATAAAGATGTATTTGGAATGAGAATTTTATCGACACAGAGGAGTGAGACAAACAGTAACATTTTTCATGGTGTCTCAAAGCCCACAAGTTCTATTACAGATTGTTTTTTGGGCATTGAAAATGTAATAAGAACATGAAGGTGTAACGAGAAGGATGGTGATTTCAAGTGTGATCAATCTAAGATTACTCCTGTTGCGAAAAGCAGCCCAATACTGAGGCAGACAACTGCATTTTACTCAAGGAAGTTGTACATAATGTTTGAGGAAGAGTTTATACACGGATCATGTGGTCTTCAATTACATGCCTCTGATTTATTATTCGTAAGGAGCACGCTACGTTTTGGCCTAACTCCAAATATATTAAGACGAATTAATTCGTATGTGGAAAAGTAGGTTTCAAGAAAGAACTGAAGATCATAGAAACTGTTAAATACAAAAGAGCAGACACAAGAAGTTGTTGCCCTGTAATGATTCAATATGCAGTTGACGAGGAAGACAATTGGACTGTCAAAAAATTCATTGAATCTCATAACCACTCATTAGCGAACCCGGTAATAAGCACCTATTGCGTTCCAGCAGAAAGATAAGTGAAGTTAATGCAGATGTGCTTAAATTCATGACACAGTCTGGGATAAGACCAAAAGACGCCTTTAACTTTCTAGCCAAAGAAGTTGGGGGTATAGAGAACCTGTAATGTATAAAGACAGATGCTTTCAATTTCATTCAAAGAGAGAAAAGATGTAGAATTGAAAATGGTGATCCTAATGTTTTATTGCAGTTGTTTACAGAGAGACGTGCTGAAGATAACATATTTGAATAAGATTTTGAAATTGATGTGAGCGTTAGACTGATGAGTTTTTTTTTGGAGCTACGGGACATCCAAGATTGATTATGACTTCTTTGGAAATGTATTATTTTTTATACGAGCTATAGATTAAATAAATATAACTTATATTGTGCTCCTATTATTGGTGTTAACCACAATTGACAGAATGTTCTCTTTGGAGTTTGATTCTTGTCAGCGGAGACGATGGACCCGTTTAAATGGCTTTTTAAAACTTTCATCCGTATCATGAGTGATAATCATCCAATAACAATCTACATTGATCAGGATCAGACTATAGCCAGAGCCATAGCAGAGAGTTTGTAAAATACACTTGTCAGTGACACATATACAAGAAATTGCCTACAAAGATTCAATGCGGGGTGACACATATCAATTATCTTTTTTATAAATGCTTGAGTAAATGCGAGTCTGAAGAGGAATTTGATGATACATGGGAGGTGATGATTGAAACAGGTAATCTACAGGATAATGTGTGGCTAGATAATATATACAAAATTAGATATAAGTGGTCTACAACTTTTAATAAAGATGTATTTGGAATGAGAATTTCATCGACACAGAGGAGTGAGACAAACAATAATATTTTTCATGGTGTCTCAAAGCCCACAAGTTCTATTACAGATTGTTTTTTGGGCATTGAAAATGTAATAAGAACATGAAGGTGTAACAAGAAAGATGGTGATTTCAAGTGTGATCAATCTAAGATTACTCCTGTTGCGAAAAGCAGCCCAATACTGAGGCAGACAACTGCATTTTACTCAAGGAAGTTGTACATAATGTTTGAGGAAGAGTTTATACACGGATCATGTGATTTTTCAATTACATGCCTCTATAAATAATGAAACTGAATATTTTATTAAGAATTTGGATGACCACAACAAACACTACTTGGGTAGTTAATTTCGACATTTTGAGTTTGGATATTCAGTACAGCTACAGGAAGTTCGAAATGATGGGATTACTGTGTGCATACACTCTACGAGTCCTAAAATTTCTATATATTAAGAAGATACCTTATAAATATCTCCTATTGAGATGATTTGAAAATGCAAAAATAGAAGTATATAACAGTCCTGGATATATGCATCTGCAGCAGTCACAAACCTCGAATGATATTAAAAGTGAACTAATATTCCAAACATACATGCAGAAAGTTGCATATCAATGTACTCAAAAAATAAAGGGAAATTCAGAAGCTGAGCAGCGCATGAAGGTGTCCATGAATAAATTGTCATTGGATATTGATGACATATTGATTGGTAAAGGTTCTCAAGCAAGGAGACAACAAAAGAAAAATAAAAAACATGTCAATAATGAATCAAATCTGAATGATCCTGCCAAAATGCACCCTAAAGGAATATCTAATGCTAGACTAAAAGGGTATTGGGTGAGAAATAAAAGATCAAAAGACATATTTCCACAACTCCAACCCCTTTTCATATGTTTCATCAAACCACAAGTTCTCACCCATAATCACTTTATACACAGGAAAAAAAACGTTTCAACAACCGAAGAAACCGAATCATCACAATGTCATCCACCCATATGCTCACTACCTGATTTTCTAATACATGTACAAATTTAATGCTCATTTTTTTAATTGTTTATGTTATAGTATGAAGATTTCTTGTTGTCACTAATACATTGATATACACTGCAGAATTTCTTTGCTCCATGGACCAAGGACGGATTCCCTTCATCAAACAACAATGATTCAATGGTCATCCCTTTAAGATTTCATTGTTTGATTCTAAGCCACATATAAAATGAGTAAGTCTGGAATTTCTTTTATGTGCATAGAATTTCTTCCCTGCTTGATAAACATATATTATCTCTTGTGTAACACAGCTGATATGCTCCTATTCTGGCCCTTACCATGCAGACATTCTGGTCTTGGATTTGCATATTCGGGTGTTATCCAAGGAGTAAGTCTGGTGCTATAAAAGATGCTAACAATGCAAAAATTCTGGAACTAGATGATGCTGCACAAGATCATAACATTGCAGAAGAACATAACAATATAGAGAAGATCTGCTCCTTCTATGATACAGAAATTCAGAATTGTGCAGCTGCAGAAATTCAAATTTGTAAACTATGTAATCCTGTAACTGGAACTGGAACTCTATATTTTGTAATCCTGTAACTGCATAAATTCGGTTTATTTTATATATTGAGTATTTTGGGGATCATTGAGTGGTAAAATGAGGATAATGTTGTGTGTGCTGATTATTAAATTATGAGAAGTTGTGTGGTAAAATGTAGCAGAATTCTGATAAACATACACTAAAATGTGGAAGATTCAAATAATCCTCATGGATAAAAATGCATAAATTCTTACATTTAGATCTACTATATACAATAGACTCAATTTGGACAATTCTCCTTCGCTAGCCAGTTTGTTAGTATATTTCAATTGCTTTGGATGTGGCTCCAGATGGTAATGTGTTATGGGATGTTGACATTTTGATGTATAATTTATATTCATTGTTGGGATTCAAATTCTATGTGAATAAATTTTAATTGTGGAGCATAGACAATCTTAGGGTCTAATAAAACACTATAACTGGATGAGCATAAAACTATCTTCAAATTATCTTTAATTTTCATAAATATGCAATGCAAAATTGGAACTGACATCAGCATTATGCAGTTCCCTTAGGTGGGAAAAAAACTCTCTCTACGCTAACATTATGCAGCAATAGTCGAATGTAGTGATCTTTCTGTGATTTCCATCAGCATTACAACTAAAGTATGTTTAACATCAGCAGCAAGATCCCTAGGTGGGAAAAAAAACTCTAACAGCTATTAACAAAGTACAATCAAATCTCATACAACCATGCAGTACAACTAAAACGTATTTCTTTACAACCATTTAGAATCATTTAATTACAGAGAAGGTTCAGCTTAACATCAGAACCAAGGTCCCATAGGTGGGAAAAAACTTCCAATTCTTTCAACAAAAATATAACCAAACTTTTTACAACCATGCATTATAACTGAAACTCAGTTTTTTACAGACATCTCATGGGCCTGAACTCAATTCTTTACAAACATACAAATACAGAGATGAATATTCTTAAAATCAACACCTGCATCTCGTATCCTCTAAATTATTAAAATCAGCACCTGTATCTCGTCTGGTGGGAGAAAAGTGTCCAAAGTTCCAAAAGGATCTGCCATATTAAGAAAGAAAACCAAGATCAATCTTTCTGGCAATAAGACTAAATAAAAATTATAAAAGTATCAGCACCATTAAACAAAGAAAATTATGTTCCAATGACAGTTGCAAAACTCACCGAACTAGTTGTTCAATGCTCAAAATAATTATTTTTTTGCTAAACCAATGTCCAATGCTGAGTAACATAAAACGAGCAATTCTGGAAGAGAAATAATAGAGGACCAAAGGGGTAAATGCTAATAAACAGAAACCTGTAATCATTCCTAAAGAATTATATTCTTGATAAAGCGAATTTACACATCTCGTATCCTATTTCTGCTCTAAATAATGACATAGATTTCTGTCATTCCAAATATTCTTTCCAATCAACTATATTCTTTTGCATTAATGTTTCCATATATTTACATACAAAAACACCACAGTCAAAACTGTTGCTCTGCACTGGTATGTCTCTGGCTATATGTATCGGCCATTTACTCGATTAGCCTTAAACACTTCCCCTGCATCATTCAAAAAATGTTTAATCTGCACATTTAAATGTAGAAATGAATGAAGAATAACAATATTGTGTACTACTGTTTGTTCAAGATATAAACATTGTCTACTTATAATGATTTCAGTAATATTCAAATGCATTATGTTGGGTAAGGAGTCGTATAATCTCCATTTGTGCTCATTGATTGTCTCAACTAGCTAGTAGTGTCCAATGTTGGTGGCAGAAACAACTCGACATTCGCAGTAGTATCGGTTGTAATGTGCTGAACAAATCCTTTAACATTTCTAACTTTGTACAACTGCATAAAAGGAGATATATCACATAAGAATAAATAGTCATGTTAGATGTATTTCAAAGCGAATTTACACATCTCGTATCCTATTGCTGCTCTAATTAATGACATAGATTTCTGTCATTCCAAATATTCTTTCCAATCAACTATATTCTTTTGCACTAGTGTTTCCATATATTTACATACAAAAACACCACAGTCAAAACTGTTGCTCTGCACTGGTATGTCTCTGGCCATATGTATCGGCCATTTACTATCAGTCTTAAACACTTCCCCTGCATCATTAAAAAAATGTTTAATCTGCATATTTAAATGTAGAAATGAATGAAGAATAACAATATTGTGTACTACTGTTTGTTCAAAATATAAACATTGTCTACTTATAATGATTTCAGTAATATTCAAATGCATTATGTTGGGTAAGGACTCGTATAATCTCCATTTGCGCTCCTTGATTGCCTCAATTAGTAGTGTCCAATGTTGGTAGCAGAAACAACTCGACATTCACAGTAATATCGGTTGTAATGTGCTGAACAAATTCTTTAACATTTCTAACTTTGTACAACTACATAAAAGGAGATATATCACATAAGAACAAATAATCATGTTAGATGTATTTAGATGCATTAAAGGACAAGAGAATTGTAATATTTACCTAGTGGCATGAAGAGACATATAAGTAGGATTTATATAGATCCGGTGCGAGACATTTCTTATTTTCCATTAACATAACAAAACCTAGTTCATTTTCTAACGTGAGGAGTTCATCAAGGTAACGTCTAGTTAACGACACATGTCCCATATTAATCACTAAATCACCTCTGCATTTCAAATATTTAAAGTTTACGTTAAATCTATACAATAGTAGAAGAATAAAACCAATGAAAAACATGGTACACTAACAAGTCAGTGAATTTGCTACAACATAGTAAAACCAATAAAAAAAACATGGTACACTAACAATTCAGTGAATTTGCTACAACAGAAGTCGATTGTTTTTCGCATATAATATGAAATTTGTTGTCTAGCGGGAAAACGATTGTTTTCCGCATATAATATGAAATTTGTTGTCTAGCGGGAAAATCGACCAGCAGTGATGCTGGACAGACCTATAAGATAAGCAAATAACATTGTATAGTTTGAATATTAAAATTCGTAATACAAATACTTAAAAAAAAATTCTCTACATTATCAGGATAGTCTTCATCAACATATTGTCTGTCCACGTGCTCCTGATGTTTCTCTTTGTCTCCAAATTCTACCGTTTCTTTAGTATGTACAGTTGGTTGATCAACATTAATGTCGTCAATTATAATAAACTCTAAAGCTATCGATTCCCCCCTTATCTACATTCTCTGCCTCTTTTTTAGCAGATCGTGGTTGATATAATTGATTTGCTTCCTCTTTATTTACAGCTTCAATTTGTTAATTGATAGATGATGTTAATTTTTTTAGCAAACAAGAATTTAATATAATTACGCTTTGGAAAAGTATATACCTCTTTAGCCTCTTCAGCAGTCTCCTGTGTTGGTTTTTTTTTTTCTTCCGTTCAAAAAACATGAATGAGGGACTGAGCATGAATGAGGAACTGAGAAGTCTTTTTCTTCTACTCTCTTAGCTTAATCCTTTGATTTAAGCTTCCTAGTGGAGACTCTTTGACCCGTTTCCTTGGAAATTCTCCATCAAGTTGTTTTATTGTTTTATGTAAATTTTTGACTTCACATTTTAACTCTGTAATTGTATTCTCTATATTTTTCAGACGAGTGTCAATTGAGCCTTGAAAGTCCATAAACAATTTATGATGATCTTTAAGTAGTTCATGTATTTCTTCAAAATCAATACGAGGGCTAGTATCTGTATATGTATCAACATGTGTTGGTATCAACATGTGTTCATTAAGGACCGGTGTGATAAGGACTTATAGCAAAATCCTCAACGAATGTGGGAGAATGTGGTCGGGATTGAGTCTCCCGTTGTCGGAGATGCTTTGCAGGACTGGATGGTGCAGGACTGGATGGTTCTCAGGACTGGATGGTTCTTCAAGAGGAGGGGCAAGTAAATGATGTTCACTCTTTTATTTCGAGGAAATAATCATAAACCTGCAACACATTACATACAATCAAGTCAATGAAAGTATCACGAGACATAATAAGACTTTCTATGGAGTAAGGAAATAAATAACTCAACTCGGAGCTCTAAGCCTCATAAAGACTAGTTAAATTTTTACCAAATTCCACCTCATATTTAGTGACCACATCAACATTCGTGGTCTAGCCTCAGACATTGCTGAGAGGACCAACGACGTATACTCATAAAACCAGTGTTGCGCGAAACATGATAAAATAATTTATTGCTATATCCAAAATTATGAATTGAACTTTTCAAAGTTATATGCAGAACACAAACCGTTAGAAGGAAGGCAAAACCTGTAATGTATCCCAGTGGCTGATCTTTCTTTATTTTTGTGGCACAGACATTCAGTTGCTCGGTCAGCAATCCACATACTGTAGCTGACCAATTATAAGTTGTAAAAGATTCTACATCATCACAAATAGAGGACAACTCTTTGGACAATCTGAAGTTACTTGAAGGAAAAAGTAAATTTGACATTAAAAACTTTATTAATAATTGCAAAAGGTTATTCAAGGACTCCCCTGGTGAATAGTTAAGTAGTGCAGTCTTTATTTGTCTCGCATTCATACTACCAGGCAGAACATTACTCCAGCATGCAAGTAACCCTCTATTGGGCATGTCTATCAGGAGCTCAACTTCGTCTGCATAAAATTTGAGCACTTTCCCTCCGAAGTTGAATGTCATTCGATCAATATTCCAATTGCATAAAAGTTGAATGTCATTCGATCAGTATTCCAACAATTTATTATGTGCATTGTCATAATATGATTTTGAGGGTGCGGAGGGAGTTCAAAAACCAAGCTAAATTCATGGCTTCCAATTTATTCTATGTTTCCTCGTCTATTGATGGTCGGACCTTATCGAGGACTTCTCGTACTGCAAATGGACGACACCTGCAATTCATTTATTTTGTTCAAAAAAACCTACGATAATACAACATAATTGTTTAAGATCCAATAAAAATCCAAATGATGACAAAGAGGGTGAATTTAAAAACAAAATCTAACAACAAGATCAAGCTTTAGGGATTAGAAATCAAAACTTAAAAATACCTAGAATCACTATCATTCTTCTTCTTTGACACCTTACGGCCTCCCTTC